CCTTTAAATACAAATGTGTATCTTTTGAAAAGGTACCACCCCAGTGTTACGTAACTCTCGTATCTTTATTTCTGAGAGAGTGTATGCTCCCCCTTAATTAAAAAGTATTTTTGATTGTAAAATTCTTGATAGACCGCAAAAGCATATTTTGGGAATACTTTATGAAATTAGGCAATTGTTGCTATTTCTTGACAAAGTGTATATCCTCAAACTTCTTTCTTTTTTATTACATTTTTGGGGGGGGTTACACTTTATTTTACACCTTCCTTGTTACAACTATAAATTTACATTCATTCATTTTCTTTTCGGTTTAGTCCCTTTGTTAATCAGGGGTCACCACAGCAGAACGAACCACCAACTTATCCAGCATATGTTTTTGCACAGCTGATGCCCTTCCAGCTGCATATACATTTACATACTGAACGATATTGATCTACAAGTATGTGATATGGTTAATAACGTCAGGACGGGTGTTAAGTTTAGTTGCATATAATTATATAGGCTATCATTTGTTGTTATAATAAAACTAGGACGATTTTATTGTGTAATACAGTAAGTATAAACAAGAATATAAAGTAGTGAACCAGAATTTTTCTAATATAATCTCACTTTATGCTTTGTATTATACCCATGTAGCTGGATCACGTTGTTCCATTTAAAATATCTGTAGACTTCATGTGCACCCTTCCTATTTTTCACTTTCAGTTCGTCAATATTTGGTGGTTATGCAAAGTCGTTGTTTTAAACTGAGCTTACTTTACCTTTAGCACATCATGATGACCAATCAAGACAATAGGTAGAAATAAAACAATATGCTAGAAAACAAACATTAAATGATTTTAGAACCTACAGTGAGGTAAAATACCAAGCAACATACAGGAATTAGCCAATAAAATGCATATCGGTACAATTTCTCTGCGTCTTTAGAGAGGAACACTTCCTTCGAGTTCTGTTGTGCTCTACGAGTCTCCTCTCGTGAATTTACGTTCACATTTATATTGATGAACCTCTAATATGTGTTCACATTAAAGGAAATGGACGTACTCACCGGTCAGGAGCGTTTGCTTTGCTGCACCATAACAGCGACCAAAGATGCTGGTGCTGAAACACTTCTGAAACACCCGTTTACGCGTTTACGGCCACTTCATATTCACCGTCCCGTTTCTACACGAAAACATTGGCAGAATATTGCATTGTGAACGAAGACATCTGACTGTGACATCAGCTAAACCGGTTTACAGTACACTTATTTAATCACATGATAGCAACCGTCCGATAACACTAGAGCCTTTCATCACTTTGATTTTAAGATGATTGTGCTTGGTAGGCTTATTTTCTGCTTAACCCATGATGAAGTGAATAATACGAACTGAATTACATTTAGAAATTTGCAGTTAATTCTTAAATGTTAGTTTATAATTAACTTATTCGTATAATAATAATAATAATAATAATAATAATAATAATAATAATAATAATACTTATTATTATTATTATTATTATTATTATTATTATTATTATTATTATTATTATTATTATTATTATTGGTGTTGGACGCATCAGAATGTGTTTATTATATAAAATATTAAATTATACAGTATTTAACAAATATTATTAGCCTACTGTATTTTTCTATGTAAAGAATACCAAAAATTTCTTTCACAAGGGAGCAAAAATGTTTTTTTACAAACCTTCCATCAAATAACCTATTTGATCTTTCCCTTGATCATTGCACTGACTAATTAAGTAAGCTATTTTTCTTTTTTGTCTGAGTCATGTAAAAGTTCTGACATCTGCAAACAGTTAAAAGATCAAATATTCACATATCCCTGTGATCTCTTAGGTGAAGGTTAGGTTTAAAGTAAGCGACAGTTTAATTTTTAACAGTTTGCAATGAATCATAATTGTATCTTAATTTAGCCTTTTTACTTGGTGTTTGGTAACGAAGGGCCTATGCTTTGCATCAATAACACTGACCCAGTGACAACAAGTCGTCACTGATAAGAAGGCAACCTTAATGGCAGATGGTACTTCTGAATTCATATCAAATATTTTCAAACTAATTAATCATTTGATTAATGAATACAATAATATGCAGATGTGTCAGGCAGTCATTCATGCAAAAGTCAGGCTATTTCAACACAACCAACAAATAAGTAAGTTATTTATTTTTTATATGGTGTAGCCAAATTAAATGTAATAAAATAAAATAAAATAAAATAAAATAAAATAAAATAAAATTAAATTAAATTAAATTAAATTAAATTAAATTAAATTAAATTAAATTAAATTAAATTAAATTTTATTTTATTTTATTTTATTACATTTAATTTGGCTACACCATATAAAAAATAAATAACTTACTTATTTGTTGGTTGTGTTATTTTATTTTATTTTATTACATTTAATTTGGCTACACCATATAAAAAATAAATAACTTACTTATTTGTTGGTTGTGTTATTTTATTTTATTTTATTTTATTTTATTTTATTTTATTTTATTTTATTTTATTTTATTGTGGTGGTGCTAAGAGGTTGCTACTACCACTACTACTACTACTACTACTACTACTACTACTACTACTACTAATAATAATAATAATAATAATAATAATAATAATAATAATAATAATAATAATAACAATAATAATAATAATAAATAAAAATAATAATAATAATAATAATAATAACAATAATAGTAAAATCATGACAACAAATGTCATGTTAGCCTATACTTTAACTTATATTAATAAGTTAATCAGGCTTAAATTTGATCAAAGTTTAACTTAATATTTTAGTCAGTTTTATTGATGTAAATTGAGATGACTAAAGTTTATTTTAATAAGACTTGTTGAGATCAAAACAGAAACTGATCCGTAGGCTTAAAGTAAAAGATGGACTCAAATCTAGCTTTTAAATCTCATAAAAAGATGTAAAAATGTTAAATTCAAAGTATTTTTATTATTAGATTTGAATATTAATACCTTATTTTAAAAGGTTTATAAAATTGAAGAGCAAATATATGTGTATCTGGCGCCCCCTTCTGTAAACAGCGCGCATCTACGTAGAATTCTCTTAAAATTGTTATGACATAGAGTAGCTTTAATTTACAGTTTGTTTGTTTTTTGTTTTGAGAATGTAATTTCTGTTTCAAGAAATGAGCCAAACTAATGGAGAAAACTGTAATACAAACTTTGCTTGCATTTGTCATTTCTATGTAAATAAGTATCATTTTCATGGTAATTTGATGCAGGGAGCAAAATACTAGAAATAAATTCATAAACACACATGTGCATGTACACATCATTATGTTAATAATCATAGTATCTAAAGATATATTTAATGTGAAAAGCCCAATAACAAACATTTGAACTAACCTATCATATGATGGTAAAACTGTCTGATATTTTCTGCATGCCAGATGACTTTGTAAATATGCAGTCCATGGTGTCACAGTATGGTAAAACTTATCACATACAAAAGAGTTCATGAATCAATGTAAAATGCAATCCGATTACTTTTTAATTGCTTCATTGACTTCATTACATGATGTGCACTAAAGCAAAACAAATTTAATTTTACAGTTTTGAAACATTTGATCCCACAAATAAATTAATTTGAATGGAAGTCAAGCTTAGGCTAAAACTCTGGAAAATAAAGTTCTGTGTTTTGAGTAAAATGTTAATTGGTGTTTGGTGTTTTATTTATTAAATTGCTAATAATCTGCTTTTTTAAAATTTGTTTTTATTGTAATTATTTTCCATTCTAAATGAAAATCTTGTTTGAAACTAGCCCAGTAATAAAGTCATTTAAATAATACATCACAAAAGAAGTTCTTTTTCCACAGCTGCATATCTTATTTACAATATTTATAGCACTGTATCTCCATTAAAAATAATTCTGATGAATTAAAACACTATAAAAAGTTTATGAATAAAAGAATCTGTTAATTCTATAGAGGACAGTCTTTAGCACATAATCGCATGAGAGCAAAGATAGCAGTTTATTTTTACAACCATCTGCTTTGTGTTGAAGGAAGAGATGCTCCTCTGAAGGATAAGAAGAGCTAAACATGTCCTCTCAGATAATGAACCACCGCCTGCTTTGATAAAGCACACATTCAAAGTGAATGAGCAAAAGACAAAGTGCAGACCTCTCAGTCCCACTTTATATTAAGTGGAGTTAATTACTACCTACATTTAAATTATTAATTTGGCAGTACAATGCACATATACATCCATGTTCTTACTTAAATATAATTTTATTTTTGTAATAATTGGTAACATTTTTAATTTAAGGTGACATAGTTACACACAGCCCATGTAATTACAATGAATTATCCATAATTACATGCAACTAATCCTAACCCATCATCTAACCCAACCATAAAGTACATGTAACTAATTACAATTACTCAGTAGTTAAATAATTACTTACACTGTAACTGTGTCACCTTACACTCTCAGAAATAAAGATACTTGAACTGTCAAAAGGTACAAATTTGTACATAAAAGGTCCATATTAATACCTCAAGGGTACATGTTAGTACCTAAAAAGTACAAAAGTTTACTCTTAAAATATTTAGGTACTAATATGTACCATTGAGGTACCAATATGCACCCTTCAAGTACAAAAGGTACCACCCCAGTGACAGCTTGCGTACCTTTATTTCTGAGAGTAGAATAAGGTGTAACTAAATTATCTGAATATAATAATAATAAAGTTACCTCATATTGTACTATACAAATTGTTTTTCAGCGTCAGCAAGGTCTACCAACTTAAGCCAGCTCATTGATTTGATTGTATGTCTTCATAGACTGTTTCTGTCATATATGTTGACTTTTGAGTACCTTGGATGCAAGTCAATAGTTTATTCCCACTACGTGTGTGTTTGTGTGTAATGTTGTATATTGGTTACCAGCAGTAACAGCTGTCAGTGGGTCTGTGTGTGCCAGTGTTACACTATTTCTGGAGCGTGTGTTGTTTAAAAGGTCAGATAGAAGAGAACAGACTGAGAGAGAGAGGAGGAGGAGAGATCAACTAAGAAAACCAGAAGGAAGACAGAGGGGTGGAGGAGGACAAGGACACATCGTCTGTCTTTCAGTTTGACTGGAGAGTTGCTGAGTTTGACCAAATGGAGGATTCAGAGAATATCACAGTGATCAGCGAGAAGGAGGTAATAAATGAGCAGGTACTTGTAGCAGTGAATTAACATGTTTTTCTGTCACTGTATTTTTTAATGCTCGTATTAACCTCAAAGTCTGAGAGACACTAAGGCCCTTTTGACATCTCATGAGCATATGTGTCCTAATCAATTGACTGTAATGAAAACAACATCACATTAATAACATGATGAATGCTGTGCTGTTTGTGTTATGTTTGTTGTATTGCAAAAAAAAATCAACCCAAATTTGGGTAAAAGTTGAAATCAGAATTGTTAAACGCCCCTTTAATTTTTTTTCCCTTTTTAAAATGTTTCCCAAATGATTTTTAACAGAGCAAGGAGACTTTCACAGTATGCCTGATAATATTTTTTCTTCTGGAGAAAGTCTTATTTGTTTTATTTCTGCTCGAATAAAAGCAGTTCTTATCTTAATTTTTTAAAATCACTTTTAAGGTCAAAATTATTAGCCCCTTTAAGCTATATATATTATTCTGTAGTCTACAGAAACATCGTTATACAATAACTTGTCTAATTACTCTAACCTGCCTAGTTTACCTAGTTAAACCTTTAAATGTCACTTTAAACTGTCTTGAAAAACATCTAGTAAAATATTATGTACTGTCATCATGACAAAGATAAAATTAATTAGTTATTAGCAATGAGTTATTAAAACTAATATGTTTACAAATGTGTTGAAAAAATCTTCTCTCCATAAAACAGAAATTGGTGGAAAAAATAAACAGTGGGGCTAATAATTCAAGGGCATAGTCATTCTGACTTCAACAGTAACTGTTGGGTAAAATGTATATTTAAACATTTATCACCACCACTGGACTTCATGTTTAACCCAAATTTAGCAGATTTTTTTGTTATATATATATTTTTATAGCTGACAATACTATATTGAAAACAATCGAATCAAACAAATGAAATATTAACAGTTTTTTTTTTTTAAATAAGTTTTTAATATTTTTTTTCAATTTATTAAACATTTTTTGCTCTTTTCATTGATGTTATTGAATTTCAGCTCTTTTAAGTTGAAAAAGTACTACGGTGAACAAAGCTAATTTTAATAAGTGGACTAAAGACAAAATTTCAAGAACTTTAATTCAATTTCAAATTGAAAATAGAAAATGAAAAAGAAAATATAAAAATAATTAATATGAGATGGAATTAATTTAGTTGAAATATCTCACTGGAAATTGCTTAATTTCAATTTCACTACATTAGATTAATCACTGGGGTCCCTGGGATCCAAAACATAATTAAAAAACAAGTCTGCAGAACATTAAGCATGCAGTTCTTGGAGGATGCCTTTTACACGAAAAATGAAAATAAAATGCATGCTTTGTGTTTGGTGTTACTTCTCTCTCTCGCTCTCTCTCTCTCTCTCTTACACACACACACACACACACACTGCGTTGACTGCATTGTGAGGGTGCTATTTTTCCATGTGTTTTGCTCTCCAAGTCAAGACATCTTTATGACGGCAGCTTTATATAATTATTTTCAGGAGTGCTATCAGACTACTAATTATGCTGGTTTAACTGACGTGGTCATTTGATCTGAACACGTTTACTAAAACTCACTCAGCCACACACCTGCTCATTCAGAAGAATGTTACTGCGCTTTTTACAACTGATGAGTCATGACCTCGTGTGACACCTGGGACAAAAATAAAACCAAACACACACACACACACACACACACACACACACACGCACGCACGCACGCACGCACGCACACACACACACAGGGCTATGTTGTCTCAGATATCAAACTGAGAACATTATACAGAACCAATGAGTAGAGATGAAATGCCATTCAGTAATACGTCAACAGGGGATTAAAAGATTACATCTTGAAGAAAATTGATGAAACAGGTAGTGTGGACAATAACAGATGCTCACATGAGAGGAATGATAAATAAACTACAGATTTCACTTAATGCCATTGGCTGCTAATTATAGTTTTTTCAATTGTTTTGCCACAAATTTCAGAACCCTGATATCAATTTTCAAAACTCTAGACACAAAACTCTAAACACTCACAACTTTTAACAGACTCTCCTGTGGTCAAAACTCGGCATGCTGCATTTATTTCCTTAAAGATGTCTTGCATTTGCAAGATCATTGGTTTACATAATCTTTTTATCAAACAAATACTACAGGAACACAACTTTAGATCACCAGCACACAACATGCACTACGTTTCAATAAACAATCTTAAACAATCATTAAATATTGTTGTTTAAATATATGATATTTTATAAAATTAAAAATATATGTTTATATATATATATATATATATATATATATATATATATACATTTAAAATAAATGCATATTCATTTACTTTACATGGTTATTATTGACTGATATAAGCACTCAAAAGGATAAATAACTGTTGCATTATTCTTGATGCGTGGAAACATGATGTACAATATTACATGTTTAAATTATGAAAGCCTAAAGCTTCCTTAGAACAACACAAATAACTGTATGATTTACTGCGCACACACACACACACACACACACACACACACACACACACACACAAATACACACACACACACACACACACAAACACAAAACATGCTAAACTATGGTAATCACAAACCCACTAAGGCAGCGGTCTCAAACTCAATTCCTGGAGGATCACAGCTCTGCATAGTTTAGCTTCAACCACCTCAAACTCATACCGACTTAATAGTCTCTAGTAGTCTTGAACACATTGATCAGCTGTGTTTGATTAGGGTTGGAGCAAAACTGCGCAGAGCTGCGGCCCTCCAGGAATTGAGTTTGAGACCTATGCACTATGGTTCTGCTTTAACCATATTTGTAGTAAAACTGTGGATATAAATTGTAATGAATGCACTAAATAAACATAGATAAACACTAAATAAACATAAATAAACACTAAATAAACATGTTAACTGCAGTATACCTTTACTTTAATTAAATCATGGTTACTTTTTTTAATTCACCCAAAACTGAATGTTCTGGTATCATTTACTTATTCTTTACTCGTTCAATACCTACACTTATTGATTTTTGTACAGTATACAGTATTTAACTGTAATATTCACTGTATTTTGCAGTTATATAGTGTTACTGTATTTTAAAGTTGCATTGTGAAAATTACTCTATTACAGTGAATATATATGATACTGTTAACACATACACAGAGAGCTAAATGGTGCTGTAAATTTAAACACAAATATTTTTTGCTGTAATTGACTGACAGTAAGTTACTGGCGAACTGCTGCTGGTATTTTACTGTAGATTCTACAGAAAATTGGATCCCAGGTACCAGCATTCAAAATATCTTCCTTTGTGTTCAACAGAAGAAAGACACTCAAAAGGTGGGGGAGGGAGAGTAAATGATGAGAGTATTTTTAATAAATGCTGCTTTGATGAACACAATAATTTTCTTTAAAAAGAAACATGAAAAAAACTGACCCCAAACTTTTGTAATGTATATACAGTATATCTTATATTATCTTATATTAACACTGTATTCTGCATGAAACAATTCTCATTGAGCTTAATAGTTGTATATTCTACACTGTGTCTATATGAGTTGTAATGTCTTTTAAATTATAAATTATAAGCAATGTCTTACTTCATGTATTAGAAGCTGCTTTACTTAATATACAAATCAATATTGTGTTTCAATTCCTAGAGATGGGTTGCGGCTGGAAGGGCATCCGCTGCGTAAAAACGTGCTGGATAAGTTTGCGGTTCATTCCGCTGTGGCGACCCCTGATTAATAAAGGGACTAAGCCGAAAAGAAAATGAATGAATGAATATTCTGTTTCATAGTTTATGTTGAGACTGTTCACCTATATTGTCAAATAAATGGCAAGCTGCCAGTCAGTGTTGTATATTCAAATTTTTTTTTTATATATTTAATAAATGCTGCTTTAATGAATAGAATAATTTTCTTTAAAAAAAAAACATGAAAAAAATGACCCCAAACTTTTGTAGTGTATATACCGTTGAAGTCAGAAATATTAGTCCCCTACTTATTTTTTCCCCAATTTCTGTTTAATGGAGAAAAGACTTTTTTAAACACATTTCAAAACATAACAGTTGTAATAACTCATTTCTCATTTCTGATTTATTTTATCTTATTTTTATGATTTTCATTTTATCTGATGACAGTAAATCATATTTTACTTGATATTTTTCAAGACACTAGTATACAGATTAAAGTGACATTTAAGGGCTTAACTGGGTTAATTAGGTTAACTAGGCAGGTAAGGTTAATTAGGCCCCGTTTACACTAGTGCGTTTTAGTTTTAAAACGGCGTTGTAGAATGAAAACGATCCGCGTCCACACTCGCGTTTTACCCAGCGTTTCTGAACAGGGGTCTGTTCTTCGTACGTGGATTACTCAATTAGCTGGATTTGGATGTTGACGATTTGACACGATCCAGGATCGTTTCGTTCTTCAAAGCTGATCCGAGAGTTGTTGTCATAGCAACAGTTCTGCTAGGTCAAACCTGATCGGGAGCAGGTTCAAATCATATAAACAGGATTAGATCGGCTCAGTTCAAGCAAAGATAATACAGAAAGTATGTTCCGAATTCTGATATTTTCTTACAGTAGTAGTTATACTTGGGAAAATGGTACATATTTTTTAAACTATATATATAAAGTTATAGTCATTAATAAAATAAATTAAGTTATACATATTAATTAAACATGCAATCTGCACCCTCGAAATGAAAGTACAACTGCCACCTGGTGGTGCAAAGAGAAAACTTATTGATATGAACTTTTTAGATCGCTTTAGTACAAACTGTGTATAATAAAAATGCACAATATGTGACTTTTTAAAGCAATAATACATTTATGCAGTCATAAACTTGAAAGTTTATATGCTGGTGATTTGATGCTTCACAAAAGTTGCAGAAGCCTTTACCAATATGAAAATACTTTTGTAAACAACCAGTTATTCTTTACACCGATTTAAAAACGGCTACTATAATAAAGAAAATATTTTCTAAATGTGGAACTAAATGATTTGCATTGAAATACATGATGAATACACTTGACACATGAAAGTGGAAATTGCAGCTCACAACAAATGTGGAAGGTTATTGCGTGTCATATTTAACAAGCCGTTTACTGCTAATTTGATGTAATTTTGCTCACATGGATAATTGAATATTAATCAGATGATGTCATTACGCTGCTGTGCCGTCAGCCAATCGTTGCATTGCTGATCATGATTTCGAGGATCGATAGATCTGTCCTTCAGCGATCTCAGATCAGTTTATCCAGACATTCTAATCTGATTCGCAAACTCGTTTGAAGAACCAAATTAGCGAGAGATCAGTTATCAAGATTAAAAGATCCAGGATCTGCCAAATCATCTTAGATCATTTAAGCGAGGTACGAAGAACGGACCCCAGCTCTCCGTCCACACCAAAACGCTGAAAACGCACATCACGTGACCACACACACACTCTCGGGCAAGCGCTCCAGCATTTCTACCCAGACGAGAGCTCTGCTTGTCGGACTGCTCATCAAGCATCTCCCGCTGGATCTAATCTCCCTATATTTGCTAAACGTGATATTTCATTCATCTTGTTGTCTTTATCTAACGACATAGGCCAATTCCCTGACTTTGATCATTGTAATCTATTAAGTTACTTGTTCACGGGTAACATGTTTTGGTTAAGCGCAAAGATAAGTTAATGATTAATCCAGGTACATTGACTGATCGCTTGCCTTTATTTCCTACAATGTATAAACTTATTGTATGTTATACTTTTATAAGTATCGATTATTAAAACTGATATTCAGCAAAAGAGAGGGTGCGTTTCGTATTTTCACTGAAATTGAAAGGAGGCAGTTGTTATCGGCTCCGTTTAGTTATAAATATCCACACAGTGAAGATGACGCTCATATATGCAGCACGACGCCTCAACATTTCTGCTGTCTGTTAAGTTGCTAATATTAAAAAGAAAATAGGCAGTTCCTTAAATCATGTTTACATTTTATTGTTGAGAAAGTGAAACAACGTAGCCAAGGTGATGTGAATGAAGTTATAAAGTACACTGTTCCCTTTGAAGATTTACCCGTGTCCTCGGTATGTTTTCCATATCAAACTGAGAAGGGGGAGACTGCAGCTGATCAAACTTGCGAAGTCTTAACTTACAAGAAGAGGATGCGTGACTGAACTGTGTGTGGGCTACTTAATATTGAGGAAAAGCCCCAATCAGATAGGCGAACGTTTGCAGCCCCGCCTCTGTTTTCAGATGTCTCCGTCTTTCCCCATCCACACTGAGACGGAGCAGCAGCGTTTTAGAATGAAAACGGCCTCTCCAGCGTTTTCGAAACGCTCCGTTTTCGGCGCTCGAGAACTCCGGCGTAGTGTGGACGGATGGCGTAACCGTAGCAAAACTTATGCGTTTTCAAACTAAAACGCACTAGTGTAAACGGGGCCTTAGGCAAGTTATTGTATAATGATGGTTTGTTCTGTAGGCTATCGAAAAAATATATAGCGAACATGCAAACTCCACACAGAAACGCCAACTGACTCAGCAGAGGCTCGAGCAAGCAACCTTCTGGAATTAAATGATTAAATCAAATGACAAACTACTTTTGAACAGTTGTTTTAGAGTGCAATAGCAATTTTACAATTTGTACTGTATTTTTGATTAAATAAATGCAGCTTTAGTAAGCAGGTTTATTTTAAAAATTTTTAAAATGACCCCAAACTTTTGACCGGTGTATATAACATCATGCGCCTCATTTTAAATGTTTGAAGTAACTAACAAATTTTCATTATAGACAAACAAACAGAAAATTCAAATTTATGTAAAGGCATGCAAAAGATAAACAATGAACAAATGCTCTGTATTTTTACATAACAAAAACATTGATTGTTATCCTATATTTGGGCCCTTCACAGGAATCCAAACACACAGAGTCTCAGGAGCCGGCTGACTCAGAGCCAAGAGGTGGAGCTAACAAAGACAACAAAGAAAACCAAGAAAAAGAAGAAGCTCCAGCCAATGACACCGAGGCTTGTGAGCAAAAGGGCGGAGTCCCAGAGAACACTAACACAGTGGAAGAGAAAGAGAAACAAGAGATCACAAAAAATCAAACTGGAGATGTAGAAAAAGAGACAGAGCTAAATGATAACAAAGAAGGTGAGATAAAAGAAGAAGGAAAAGAAAGTAGCAATGACCCACCTGAGAATGAGAACAATTCCTGTGACAAAGAAGGACAATTTGAGGAGAAGCAGGAGGAAAAAAGGACAAAAGAAACTGAATGCAAAACTGAAAAGAAAGAAGATGAGAAAGACACAAAACAAAGTAGTGATGAAGTCAAGAAGAAAACTGAAAATCCAGGAAGAAAAAATGCAGCAGCTTCATCCTCTGCTCTTAGAGCTTCTACGAAGTCATCTGTCTCGTCACGTTCAGCTCGACCATCGGCCAGGAGAGACGCCATGGCCAAGTTTCAGAAAGAAGAGTAAGTCATCCTAATAAATCAATAGTTCACCTAAATATCTCAATTCAGCCATTATTTACTTACCCTTGACTTATTCCAAAACCATTTGGGATTCCTTCATCTGTTCAACACAAAATAAGATATTTTGAAGAATGTTGGAAACCTGTTACCATTGACTTCCATAGCAAGAAAACAAATACTATGTAAGTAAGTGAGTACATGTTTAAAGCATTCTTCAGCATTATCTTTTTTTGAGTTCAACAGAAAAAAAGCTATTCAAACTGGTCTGGAACAAGTCAAGGGTGAGTAAATGTTGGCAGAATTTTCATTTTTGGGTGAACTATCCCTTTGACATCCTCCTGTATCATTCTAATACAGCTCGTAATCATATTGTTCACTTACACAACACCATGCTTAGGAGTCTTGATCATCCACATACCTGTTATATTCTTTAATGTGTAATCAACATTGTCATCATTACTACTGATTTATGTTTGTGGAATAGATACATTTGTTCACAGGTAAGTCTCTGGCTGATACTGTATAATGTCTGTACTGTGTCTTTACTATATGTTGGTCTGTTGTAGGACTCCAGGTGTCCGAAACTTTAAGGTTCAACGGACGTCTGTAGGTATAGCTGGTGGAGCATCAATCAAACAGAGAATTCTCAACTGGTGCAAAAGCAAAACACAAAAATATGAGGTACAGTAACTTTAAACCTCTGTTTGTCGATTAAACTGTTAGTTTAATAAAAGAGTAAGTAAAATTTTGTCATTATTTACTGACATTTACTGTTAAAGTCCCCAGAGAAGTTCGTTTATTTTTTAAACAAAAATCAAGATTTTTTAAAATACTTTTATTTTAGTTTTTTTTTAAGTACAACAGAACAAACAAACAAACAAACAAACAACAACATTGTCTCAGAATACACACTTTGCAGGTAAACATATGCATTGACCATGGGTTCAGCTGTTGGAGATAGAAATGTAGTGTTACAGAGTATAGTCATCAAAAAGTCCTAAAAGGTAGTGTTCCAGTTAGTTTTCATGAGATATTCTAAATATGGATTGAGCATGCTTTATGCTAAAGTATGTGAGAATGGGTTCCCAGGTAGCAGAGAATAGGGTTGGAACTAAACTGTGCAGAGCTGCGGCCCTTTTGGAACTGAGTTTGACACCTGTGGTCTACAGCTATCTGAGAACTTTCGGATGTCATGTAAAATCTTCTAAATTGCTTTCTGAAGATAAACGAATGTTTTAGGGGATTGGAATGACAAAAACGTGAGTAATTAATAACATAATTTTCATTTTTAGGTGAACTGACCCTTTTTAATAGCTGCTTATCTGTTGTGATTGAGTTTTTAAATTGCATTATGGGACCTTGATTTTTGCTTATTCAACTTTTAACAGAAGAGCTAAACAAAGTGACTTTTATTCAGATTTGTACTTTTATGAAACCAATATGTTGTATAAGTAATACTATAATAGCAGATAGCGTACTGGTATAGTTCATTGCTCAGTTTTGTGTACAAGGTCCCATAAGTTAAAAAAAAAAAAAAAACAATAAATCATAAACAACAAGACACTGTTTATTAACATATATATTCTTACAGTCAAGGTTTAAGTGAGAACCCCCAAAACCCCAAACCCCCCTTACATCTTGATTTGCATTGATATATTGAATTTTATAAAACAGACAAAACAGAGCTGTGAGGATCCAGCTCAAGGTTCTAAATTACCTTCAAAACTGTTTTTTAAATGTTAGTCTACTGACTTGCTAAAGTTATTTCTAACTTTTTTTTCCTAAAGTTTTTTGCACACATTATTCTTTTGTTCCTAACAGTCTCATTTGTACTATAACTTCACTATGGCACTACCCAGAACACGGTCTAAGCCGCAGAAAATTGTTGATGACAAGAAGATATTTCTTAATACAATAGAAGACTGACCACACTTTTAGGAAATAATGGGGAATTGGGACTTGTTATTTATGTCTAAATGCAGAAAAAAAGCTGATTTAAGTTTCAAGTTGGAGTTGAAACTTGTTTCCACATTTTTGTAGAATGTTCATTGAGTTCTAAACCCCCCTCTAGTGGCAGTAATCATAAAATGCAAGTTTATGTGACGTGTGTGTGTTTTTCCCCACAAGAGGGTATCAGAGACACTCAAAAAAGTAACATTTCTCGATTAGACATTTTAAAACCAGGACTGGAGGGAAGGATGAGAGTTAACTTATGATAACGTATAGCTAAATTAAGCTTGCAGAGAGTTGCAAAGACCAAGTCATGTTTGATTTCTACATGACATGATCCTGTGTCACTCATAAAATCATTTCAGGAAAACATACATTTTCAAACACAAAAATAAACTTTAAAAAATGTAAAGTGTTCCATGACAGAACAAAACATGAAGAAACGGAATATTTCAACTAAGCATTCTATTCATTTATATATATATGTATATATATATATATATATATATGTATATTAGGGGTGTCAAAATTAATTGTTTCTTCGGTGCACCATGATGCAGACGCGGACAATAAGTTATCGGTTCAGTAATAATCATAACCGGTTATTATGTACTGAAGTCATTTATCTCCTATGCGCTCTGTCACGAGGGAGGTGAGCTCGAGTATTTACAACACTCAGCCAACTCAGGGCCGGTCCGTGGCATAGGAACCATAGGCAAATGCTAAGGGTACTGTATATCCAGGGGGGCGCCAGAAAGGAGCGCGGTTTAGTTGGTTTTGTTTTCGATATTCCTGACACACATTTAGTTATAGACGGCAATAACTCAAAAACCTCTTACCCTAAAAAGATCTAAAGTGTGTTTTCTACAAAAAGACAAAGCTAGTTATGTTTCACAGCTGTCTTTCTTTTTTTCGCTCGACATTACGAGCTCTGCTCTGTTTAAGCCCTCGCAATATGTGTTTAGCCGGGAGAGCTCGCGCTGAGAGGAGCTCTCAGTAAGGGACCGTCGGAAAAGTGCTTCTTTTTTCTTTTCTTTTTTTCATTTTTCTGCTCCACTCAGCGCAAGCTCTCCCTGTTGCGAGGGCTTAAGTGTGTGTGTGCGTGTGTGTTTGTTTCTTTGGTGCTGTCTATGTTTGTGTATGTGTTTGAATGAGAGACAGTGTGACATTGTGTGTCTGTGTGTTTATACAGACAGCTTGTTATAGCCTCCCCCCTAAAATATAACACTGTATATGGAAAGCATCGTCAATGCACCGGGATGCACTGAGATATCGAATTGAACCGAATCGAAGGCATGATAATCGTAACTGAACCGAACCGTGAGACCAGTATAGGTTCACACCTCTAATATATATATATATATATATATATATATATATATATATATATATATATATATATATATAAAAATTTACTTGAGCTTAAAACATAACACCTGAAATATAACAGTCCTGCCTGCAGTAGATATATATCATTGGTGATGTTTACAAATTGAGTCAAGTGTCCCAATATGGCCCTGTCCCAAATAGTATCCTTAACCCTTGCAGTCTTTCCTGGTCCACAGTTTTATGACATAATGTTGCTTTGAATGTTGGGAAGAAGTCTCCTCAAAGCTCTCCTTCCCTCATGCAGTCTCTGAAGAACATAGTTCACAAAAAAACAAAAAGAAAACAAAACAAAAAAAAGAATACTCACTATTTACTTACCTTAAGTGGTTTCAAATCTTTATGAGTTACATTTTTTCTGTTGAACACAAAATAAGATTTTTAGATAAATGTTAAAAACTTGTAACCAATGTTTCCATTTTACCACAAAAAAAATCCTTTGGAAGTCAATCGTTGCATGCTTGCAACATTTTTTCAAAACAACTTTTGTGTTCAGCAGCAAAGTGAAACTCAGATTTGTGACAAAAGTGAGGGGTGAACAAATGATCGCTACTTTTTAAGTTTTGGGTGAACTATCCTTTTATCAGCCAAAACAAAGGTGCATGCGAGTCTTGAGCACTCTTGTGAAGAACTAAAATGATGAATAGGATGCCCTACAGTCTTGTGGACTTAACAGACATGAGTTGTGCCATTTGGAACCAGGCCATGAGTAGGCCCACATGGAATCTGTGCCTGCAGATTCTACCTATGCTTATGTAAATGTATACTTCGGTAAATGTGTGCAATAAACATATTTATTCAGATTTCATATTAGATCATTTTAATTTTAAGTTTACTATATTATAATTATATTAATTATACTTGTTTACATTATTATAAAAATCATTCTTCAAAATATTATAATTTATTTTTACTTTATTTAATTTTTTCAAAATTCTGCAAAGAAATAGCAGAAAATCTTTTGACAGTGTGTAAGTAGTTAAAATTTTAACAAATTGGTGGCTAATTAATTTGAAATGTATTATTCTGATTTATACTTTTTTGTTGTCTCCTCACACCCCACCAAGGGTTAGATTTACCTTTGGAGCTTTTGACTCTTTTCTTCTAAAATCATGTTTTGTACAGTTCACATCGAATGACATCCTGCAAAATTATCCTGCCACCTAAAATCGGTTGTGTATTTTTGCTTCTCAGATTAAATTCAATTTATGATGACAGCAATTTTCACATATTCAGTGACATGTTTATGTCTATCTTTTTCAAAGGGCGTCTCCATAGATAACTTCTCTTCTTCTTGGAGTGATGGTTTGGCATTTTGTGCTCTTGTCCATCGCTTCTTTCCATCTGCTTTTGACTTCTCCACCCTTAAAGCCAGTGAACGAGAGAAGAACTTCACTCTGGCCTTCAGCACAGCCGAGTATGTTGACACTAAAATATATGTCAGGCCCGTAGCCATTGGAGGGTTTGGGTGGTTCGAAAGACCCACTGACAAAGGTCCAGAATTTATCTCAAACATGAGCTCATTTGACCTAATTTGACTGCTAAGACATTATAAATTGTCAAAATAGCACATAAAAAGCTTTAAGACCAAGCGGAATCTGACTGCATTGTTGTAAAAAAAAAATAAAACAAAATAATAATTTTACACTGAACTTTTGTTTAAAATCTTGGATCTTATTCTTGAAAGAATTTTTAATGTATATATATATATATTATTATATTATTATTATATATATAATTTTTTTTTACAAATTTTAATACTAATTTGGCTGTTGTTGTTATCTATGTTTTTTTTTACAAGAGAATCTATGTTCAATATTTAATTGGCCAAATTCTGACTGAGGAAAGTTGAATGTGCTGCTCAATTTGTTATTTGCCTAATAAATAAAAGGTTAAAAAAAAATTATTTAAAACTTTATTTCATAAAGTTCTAATTTATTAAATAAAAAAAAAACTCTTCAATCTTTTTCTAATGATATATAATATAATACATTTGTATTTTAAAAAATAAGTACTTTTTTCTTCATATTTCTTTATTCTAAATCTTAGATAATAACGTGTTTATGATGATCATCTGACAAGGTAATCCAGCAAAAAATGATGCTTAAAATGTCACTAAATGCAGTATTTAAGCCTCATAATAAAATAGAAAATATAGCGAATAACTACGAAAGGTCCACTTCTAGAGAAAAAAAGAACCACCCCTTTCACCACGCTGGCTATGGGCCTGTATGTGACTATGGGAGATGCATGAGAATGTGAAGAATATTTTTTTCTGCATTTGTGTTTCTATGTGTAGATGTCGAACGTCTAACAGTCTAAAGTTAAAAAGCCAAAAAAGAATACAAAAGCCCAAAACGCTCTCTTTCTCTCTTATTTACAGAACTCTTGCTGACTGCTGCCCCCTTCTGGAAGTATCTGATATGTTACTAATGGGCAAAAACCCAGACCCTCTGTGTGTTTTCACCTATGTACAGGCTCTCTGTCATCACCTCTCAAAGATAGAGAAAGAGAGACGAGAGAAAGAGAGCTTAGAAAAGGACAAGGGCAAAGATGAAGGGGTTTCAGAAGTAAATGAAAAAGGAGACGGAGAGAGGGAAGAGAGGGAACAAAATGAAAACGCAGAGCAAACCGGAACAGATTCAGCCATGAAGACTGAACAAGAGACAGATCAGAATGAAAATGTAATAAATGTGGATGTTATGGATGAGAAATAAAAAAGGTGAATGAATGACTGGGAGAACACTGAAGAGGAATGTGAGAATAATTTATTCTTGTCATAATGTGGTTTTATGAGCATGTAGTCATGTTTGTATCTCGTGTGGTTGACCACTGTTATTCTTGGATAAACTGTTTGTATAGATGTGTCATATACAGTTAAAGTCAGAATTATTAGCCCCCTGAATTATTAGCGCCCCTGTTTATTTTTTTCCCCAATTTCTGTTCTGTTCTGGGAAGATTGTTTCAGCATATTTCTAAGCATAATAGTTTTAAAAACTTATTTCTAATAACCGATTTATTTTATCTTTTTCATGATGACAGTAAATAATATTTTACTAGATATTTTTCAAGACACTTCTATACAGCTTAAAGTGACATTAAAAGGCTTAACTAGGTTAATAAATTTAATTAACTTTAAATTCATGTATTAAGTTGACCTCAAATTGTCAGCATTAAGCCTGTAATTCTGAAATGAACAATATATAGATGCAGATCGCTGACTGAGTTTGTATGCTCTCCTGTTTTAAGGTTTCCTCTGGGTGTTCTGGTTTCTCACAAGTCCAAAGACATGCAATATACTGTGGGTGAATTGGGCAAGCTAAATTGTCTGTAGTGTATGAGAGTTTATGGGTGTTTTCCAGTAATGGGTTGCAGCTGGAAGGGCATCCGCTGCGTAGAACATATGCTGTATAAGTTAGAGGTTCGTTCCGTTGTGGCGACCCCTAATTAATAAAGGGACTAAGCCTGTTTGAGGAAACCGATTGCAGCAAATCATTTAAGTTTTAAAACAAAATGGTTTGAGTACTGTAAACTTGTATATTTACTGAGTCATATACATATGTTATTTGTGTTGATTTCATCAAACTTTTAAAATATTAGTAAGAATTTTAGGTTCCGTTATCAAATCGGTATGAGTTCAGTTAATAGAACAAATTAAGTCCAAACAACTAGATAGCTACTCAAATGGCTCGGTACTGCTTCTAGCATTAGAGTTAAGTTAACACAAAAATATAGTTAATCAATTCATAATTCATTAGATTTGAGTTCTGCTTAATGTAATCAGTTTATGAGTCACCACAGCTGTTTTTGCTTAAGTTGAAGTATTTTTTTGTTATTATAAGTTGAACTAACTTAATGAATTTATTGTTTTTCACCATTAGGATTTACCCATACACAGTAATCAATATTTAAAGTGGTTAAAAAAAGTTGAAATTGTCCTAATAAAATAAAGGGTGCTTTTTAATAGTTTAAGGACAACTTTGATAAAAAGTTTTGATTTACTTCAAATGTTGACCGCTGTACTTCAATGCAATACAACTGTGACGTCAGCACGGATTGTGTTTAATGCTGCATTCCATACACATCAATAAAATGGCTCACCTCCAACCAATTTCCATGAAAGAAAAAGGAAATATATATAAAAATATATAAAATATAAAAATAAATATAAAATATACCTAAACCCCAAATCTCACAAAACATAGTATACCAGTAACTTTTAAGTATTTAAAACTCAGGCATACATACAGACAAATAAAATGTCGCCACTGGCTTGCTTGGTTTGGGACTTGCGGAGCTGCTAATCAATGGATTTTCTCTTCATTGTTTGGACTTTCAGCAGTGAAATTTAAACCACACTGAACTGAACTAAACTGAACTGAACTTAAACTCTGGAAACTGGACTGACACAGTTTCAATGTATTAGAACGTCTATGTTAAGCTGCTTAGACACAATCTACATTGTAAAAGAGCTATAGAAATAAACATGAATTAAATTGAATGATGCAGCATTCAAAAGTGTAAGGGAAAGGCTAAATATAAAATAATCTTCATAGGAGATTTGTAAGAAATTTAAGGTTTAGGACATTGCAAGTCATCCCATTGTAAGTGTTCTGCCAGTAGTGGGCAGTCGAGCAATGTTATTAATGATGTACAAACCACGTCAACAAGACAGAGTGAAGATAGTGAGGGCAGAGAGAAAAAAAATTATATATATATATATATATATATATATATATATATATATATATATATATATATATTTTTTTTTTTTTTTTTTTTTTTTTTTTTTAAAGCAGCCAATCCTCTTGCATGAAGTATACTCTTCTTAGTACACATGCTGTGTAGGGCCTATTTCAGAAATAGCATGAGCAGTATGGCAGTGTCATTCTGCACACTCTCAGTCATAGTGAGTCATAGTAATGCTAAATATTTTTACAGCTCTGTTTCATAACCCAACTAACGACAAGTAATAAGATATATAAGAGTCCATTTGCAAATGGTTGTCAAAAGACAGCAATGGTTACAGAAACGTAGAATGAAACATAGAAAATAATAGGTTTAGCCTAACATGTGAACTGATTCCAAACGACCTGAGAGTGTAATTGATCCAATCATCCACAATAACTATAGATAACAGATAGATTGTCATCGCTCTCTCTCCAATTTAATCTCTTACATCACAGAGTGATTTTCAGACCAGGAGTCATTCTGAACGCTGTCAGCAGTTTTGGTTTTGATGGCTTTAAAACATGAAACCCTTCAGTTATGCCTGCTTTATGCCAAAGCTAATAATTATTAATGTTTGTGTTAGTTGGGGCGTTGAACAGGAAGTAAAGAATTAAGAGAGAAAAACTATTATGTGTGATGTACATACTGTTCAACCTTGACAATTTAAGACTGTTGACACTGGGGAGTAAATGATTCAGTGGACATCCACATGTTCCAGTCATTTGGGTGCTATATATACGCATAGGAATCTTCTCCCTACATCGTTTGCACTCTCTCAAAGTATCTCTCTCAGAGTATCATATTTCCCTGAGTGCGGCTTGTATGAAAGTGGTGAAGTGATCTGATGAGGTCCCGACAGACGCCAGCTCTATCAGGGCATGCAAACAGCAACAGAGAAAGTTAAAAAGGCAGAAAAGGAAAGCAACAGAAGTGAATGAGGAAATCCGTGAATCTGTCTTTGGGGTAAACACGAGGGGTGCTTACTGCAAATTGTTTCATCTGTCAAGATCTACTGATTACCTCAAGGATCATGCAGTGCTCTAGAAATGTTGACAAGTGGAACATCTCCCTTTATTGGATGGTTAACAGTATTTAATCTTTGTTGATTTTTATTTCCGGGGAGGATTTGAACTGAAGACTATCTTCCAGTTGAGCGTTGTTATAAATTCAGCATGGATTCCACTGATCCAGAGTCCTCCAATTACATGGATTCAGACAGCCTCACTTCGCCCATTCCACAATCGTCGACATCCCGTAAGACCACCCATTACCGTGACCATGGTGGTCTTAGTTATGGTCTGGGAGTCGTGTGGACACATCTCAGACCCTTTCTTCCATTCTTTCTGGTCTCCAGCCTGGTGGTGGCACTGGTCTACCTCCTGCAAGCCATTGTGTATGGAGGGCCTTTCACCGACCCACTGTTTTTTAGCAAATTTGAGAAACGATGGCCTCCACCTAACCAGCAACCAACTGTCACAGAGTCACATGAAGGATCATCTGAGAAGCTTTAATGTGGGGATCTCTGATGAAGGGGGCATTAAACATTTGTTGGTCACCACTAAATATATGCTACACTGGACCTTGTGGAGTGACAAATCTGTGGATACATTCAAAGAACAACTGGATAAAAACTGACCTGAAAGTGCAAGTTATGAGTTTGTTTTCCTTAACTTTGGAATCTAAGGGAAAACATATGCAATTGATCAAGAAGTTTTATCGAAGACAATATAATATTTGGAGGACATCATTACTTCAGTGACTGTTCTGACTTGCTTTCTCAGTTACATACTGCTATTTGTTTAATATATGCTCTGTGTGCATAATAATGAATTACATATTTTGTGGATAATATCTATTTGGATTGATTTGTTCTAATTAACTCCCAAAATATTGTTGTAAATTTGTTTTGTATATGCCTGCAGTTAATCAAGCTATTTTCTATAAAATGTGAGGCAACTGTACAAATTTAATTTACACTGTAATTTGTAGTTCATCTTGGAACTTATTCTTGCAGGGATCGTTCGCTCAAAAGTTAAATTAATTTATCATTTACTCTCCCTCATGTGGTTTTAAAACTTTATGATTTTCTTTCTTCTGCTGAACACAAAAAAAATATATATTTTGAAGAATAGTAGTTGCTGGGACTCATCGACTTCAATAGTAGGAAAAAGTAGTACGGTCAATTGGTCCCAGCAACCTGCAAGTTTCAAAAACATATTTTTGTGCTAAACACAAAAAAAAAAACGTGAAAAGTGAAGGATGGTTTAATGATGGTAATCGGTTTTTGAGTGTCCTATTTGTTAAAATGTTTGTCAGTTATACATCAGCAGTTTTAAACAACTTAAATATTATTTCACATACACTGTATAACTAATTAAGAGGTGCTTTGGTGCATTACAAATGTATTTGTGTGATATTTCAAGGTCATTTAATGCCCTCTGAGAAAACACAAGATGTTTTAGATCAAATCTGTGAGCTATCTGACTCTCCATAAACTGCAACAGTCCTGAGATATTCAAAGTCCAGAAAAAGAACCCATGACAATGTCAAAACATTCAATGTGACTTCATACAAGACTCCAAAAAAATTATGTCCATTCATAAAAGTGTTCTTGGCATCTTGTGTCATTACAGTTGAACTACTGAATTCACATGGAATGTTTCAACATTGTTTTTGGTTCCTTGAACATCTTGGGACATTCATGATGAGGGAGTTCTTGGATTTCATGGAAAATATCTTAATCTGTGTATTAACGATGAATCAAGGTCTTGTGGATTGGAAAAACATAAGGGAGAGTAATTAATATCAAATTTTAAATTTTTGGGTGAACTAATCCTTCATAGTTTCTTTGTGAAGCCACCGATGCCACTTTTTTAGTGTAAATTACTATATATGAGACACAATATGAAGAAACATTTGAAAAGTGAAAGATAAAAACACTATGAATAATTTATTGCTTTTGTGTGAAAATAATAGCATAGCATAATGCTTTACAATAATCTTTACAATAATCTAATTTTGTACTGACTCTGATGACCTAAGTCAGAATATATATGAAGAACACTTGTAATCAGTCTACATTCACAACACAAAAAAAAAAATACCAATAAGATCATCAGGAATTTCAAAGAGGTTGATTTTTGCCATATTTAATGCCTATGTATACTTTATTTT